GGACCTCACTTGGTCAGAGGCATGCTGTCCAAGGTCAAGGCAGGGTCTACCCAGGTCAAGGCCCAGGCCACCCTGCCAGGTCAGTAAGGCTCCACAAGCCTTGGGGGCCCCTGAACAGCACCCCCTCTTCCCTACTCCTCCCACATCAGTGCAAGCTCAGCCCTTCTAAGACCTGCTCCTTCCTGGGCCCTCCCCACCCCACCACCAACTCCAGGGCACACAAAACCCTCCTGGGTTCCTCATCTCCCTCACCTCCCTCTACCCCCATCCAGGCGCCCCACAACCCCTCAGCACCGTCCCCACCAAGTAGCCAGAGCGTGCTCTGCAAAACTGACTCAGTGCACACTTCCCTGCTTCAACCTCCCAGAACCACCAACTGAATTCAGAACAAAACCGAGGCACAGAGGCAGAGCCACGGTCTCCGGCCCCAAGTGGCGACCCTGCCTATCCCAGTTCCTGCCCCACACACTGACTTAGCATCCTTGCTCAAAGGAATCACACTCATTTTGGCCACAAGGCCCCTTTGCATGTTCCCTCTGCCTGAAAGCTCCACCCTCAGCTGCTGTTTCTCACTCAAGTCACCTCCTCTCCTGACTCCTACAGCAGGCTCTTGTCACTCATACTGCCACAACACGTTTCACTTCCCTCTGCACACTCACCACTCTCCAGCATGGTTTACTCAGGAGTCAGCAAACATTTTCCGTAAAGGACCAGACAGTGAGTATTTTCCACACTGCAGGCTATACGGTCTCTGTCTTGAAACTCAGTTTTGCTATTGTAGCGTGAAAACTGCATAGACAACATGTGAGCGAATGGGTGTGTCTGTGTTCCAATAAAACCAGCTGCGGACTTGTCCAGGGGCCACCAAGTGTGGTCCCTGGTCTTATCTGAGAGGCCAGAGGGCAACGAAGGAATCCCCCTGGTCACTGATATGACTGACCGAGGCACCTAGAACCCCACATGGCCCACAATAGGTGCTTGATATTCAATAAGCATTGTTCAAGGACCGAGAGGCAACTGCACGTCCTCACATGCTCTGAGTCCCACCGCCAACTCCAGCTTGTGCCAGGCTCTGCAGGAAGCGGTTTATGACGTGCAGTTAGTTCCCTTTGACTCACGTGGTGTCCCCAGGAGGGAAAATCGCAGTGCTCACATGGAGCCGACTACATGCCAGGCACCCTTCTAAGATCTTTGTACGCCAATTCACTTGGCCGAGACCTATGAGAAAGGTAGTCATCACGCCCACTTCACAGACAGAGACACTGAGGCGGAGTGTCCCCAACTGGTAAAGGTGGTCCAACTCCCAAGGCCTCTCCATGGAGCAGATCGAGGCTGCCAGTCCAAGTCACTTCTGTTGCATTCCTAGAAAGTGGCCAGGGCGGAATTCACACTGAGAGCTTTCTGTCTCCTAAGAACACAGCTCACTCAACGAGGGATGTTGCAATCCCTGGTTACCATAAGGTCACAACTTCAGAGGAGGCCTCCAAAGATGACACCCGCCCCACCCCAGGCACACTGACCCACCACTGTTCTTGGAGCACACCAGGCCTTTGCTTGAACTTCCTACCCTCTCTCAGGCCGCCCTCAAATATCAAGGGAAGCCTCATTGAGGAGGAGGTATTTCAGCAAAAACTTGAAAGAGCTAAGGAAGCAAATGACAGATAAGGAGGATGAGTTTTCTAGGCAAAGGGCATAGCCTTTGAAAAGGCCCTGGGGCAGGACTATGCCTGGTGCCGTAGAGAAACAGCGAGCCCTATGTGGCTGCAGCAGAGCGAGCAAAGGTGAAAGAGGGATGAGGCCGGGGAGGGGATAGGCCAGGGGCACGCTGTACAGAACCCTGTGAACCATGGGCAGGACTTTTACCTGGAGGAAGCTTACAGTCCTGGAGGGTTGTGGGCAGACAAGGAATGGGGCCTGACTCAGTTTTTAATGGGAGCCTTCTGGAGTGGGCTGTAGGGAGCATACGAAGGGACAGAGGACTAGGCCAGCGATGGATGGGGGCTGGACCAGGTGGAGGCAGAGGAGGGGAAGTGGGTAGATGCTGGGTCCATTTTGAAGGCTGAGCTGACATAATTTGCTAACAGATTAGATGTGGGAGGAGTTGGGAGGTCTGGGAAGAAGTCGACTGTTCTGAGATATCATGGGAACGGGAAGGACAGGCGGGAAATGGCTCCGAAACAGCAGACCACAGCTCAGCCCCAAAGTCCACAGGCTGCTCATAGGCCCCACAGTGGGCTCTGAATGCGTCCAAGCCCCAGGAACCAGGTGCCCCACACAACTCCTAAAAGCCAGTGGACAGCCCCATCAGGCCTTCTCTGGACCAGGACTTGGGAGCCCAGGCGTTTAAAGTAACCAGATTCTAAATACCAAGATACGTTTCACCTCCCATCAGATTGGCCAAAATGACAGAGGCTGATAACATCCGAAGCTGGCAACACTGTGGGGAGACAGTCTCTCTTGGCCCCTGCCACACCTTCCTGGAAAGCCATCACGTATCTGATAGTCATTTTTCAATTGCTAGCCCCTGCCCAGCCATTCCAAGGTGGGACTCCACCTTCTAGGAAGTGAAGCGCCCGCGTTCAAAGGCAAGACATTTACTGCTTGTAACAGCAAAAGGCAACTCCAGAAATAATCTGAATGTCCCTCAGCAGGAGGCTGGTGAATCAGCAGTGGCTGGTGCCTACAGCAGCTGTTGCTAACATTCATCAAGCACCCTCATCCCATTTTATAGAGGGGGACACTGAGGGCTCAGAGAGATCAAAGCACTTGCTCTTCAGTGGAACCCAGGCAGCTAACTCAGGGATTCCCACCCTCTTAACCACGGCACATTATCCTTCCTCTCTGAAAAAAATAATTGATATCAACATGGGGGGAAAAATCCAAACTATTACAGACAAAAAGCAAGCAACTTACAGAGTAATAGGTATAGTACAGCGGCTCTCACCAGGGTGACTATCTCCAGGGGACACTGGGCCATGTCTGGGACATCTGTAATTGTCACAACTGGGGGGATGAGCTTCTGGCATCAGGTGTGTGGGGACCAGGGATGCTGCTCAACACCCTCCAGTGCCCAGGACAGCCGCCCCAAAACAATAAATTTTCTGGCCCAAAAGCCAATAGTGCCAAGGAAAGAGACCCCGGTGTAGCATGAACCATCCTGGTGAAGAATATGCAGACCTGTCTATGTGTTTATATAATTGTACAGCAATAGGAAAAGGAAGGACAGCTCTTACCCAAACTTCACAGAACTTAGGTCAGGAAAAGTGGGTTTGGAGGGGAGAGGCAGCCCTTTAAAGAGAGTAAAATCAAAATTAGCTGGGAGAGGCAGATATCTGTGGATTTCAGTGACAGGCAGGGAGGGCCAGCCCATATCTTTCTGGCCCCATGCTCAGACCCAGTCACAGCCCATAGCTGGGATTTGATCTGTCCCTAATCAGCTGACCTAACCCCTGATAAGACAAATGTCTGCTCCGTAGCTTTCCAGTTGTCTGGGGCTATTTTGTCTCTGACCAGCCAGGCCAGGGGGCTGACAGCAGAGGTCAGGGTGCTGAGAAAGGACCTCGCTGGGGCCCTCCACCACGTGTGGTGCTAGCCAGGCAAGGACACTGGCTGAACGAAGGCGGGGCAACCGGATGGTCGGAAGGAAACAGGTCATCCACCAGGCAGTTCCAGATGGCAGTGGCAAAGGAAGCAGTGGGAGTCTTCCAGAGCCCAGGATGCTCACTCTGGCTCTCTCTTCAGACACTTCTCCCAGCTCCCAGGCAGCACAGCATCTCCCTGCCTGCCAAGAAAGCTTTTGGAGGCCCAGGGGAGGAGGAGGATGGATGCCCATGGGGGTGTCTAGAGGGCTCCACCCATAAAGGCTACAAGGGAGGAGCAAAGCGTTCTTTGGATCAGGAAACTTCCTATTTGGGAGCTTATGACCTCAACTGAGAAGGAACCGCAGTGGCTCGGCTCTGTACTCCGCCCCAGGTAAAGGGGGCCTGTAGCTGGTGGGGCGACCTGGCTCCCTACACCTGCTCTGGGGGAGGGTAAGAAAGGCAGGCCAAGGAGAGGGGCAACCAGGAGGCAGTGGTCCTCCAATGGCGACAGCAGACCCCAGTGTCCAGGGAAAAGGCTTAGGGGGGCCTACCCTTCCGCGTCTACTTCAAGAGCCCCAGCTCTGAAAATGCCTCGAGATGTCATGCCCTGAGCCCCCTCCTGTGAGAGGGAGGTAAACTGAGGCCCAGCAAGGGAAGAAATGACCACTTTCACAAAAAGAGAAGAGATGGTGGGGAGGCAGACCCAGAAGGCCACAGAGACCTCCCTCCTCCACCCCAGCTGCCCCAGGCCTTTCCGACCAGTAAGATCTGCCCATCGGCTGACGGCCTGCGAGGGGAAGGGGCGAGGTCAGGAAGCTGGCACCGGCGAAGGTGGGTCCAGGCAGGAGGGCACATCTGGCACAGTGTCACCCCATGTCCTGCCCCACCTTGGAGACAGGGCCCCCTCCCCGGAAAGGGGGGTGCTTCATCACTCCACACACGCAGAGCAGCCCCCTCCTAACAAGACAGGAAGGCGGCCGTCCCCGAGCGCCCTCGGCAGGAGGCGGAGCACTCACCCGCCGCGCGCCCTAAGGCGGGGGGGGGGGGGGGGGGGGTGGTGGTGCGAGGACCGGTCTCCCGCACGCTTCCAAGCAGGATGCTCCACCCATGGCCTCTCAGAATGGGGCCCCGCACCCAATGCCGCCCCCAGTCCGCGTCCCCCCCCAGGGATCCCGGGAATAGGCGACGCCACTCCGAGCCCCCAGGCGGGGGTCCCACCTCCCTCGGGCCCAGGGCAAGTCCCCCGGCCCAGTCGGGGGGCGTTCCATGCCCCCCCGCACCCCGGAGTGGAACGTTCCGGTCTCCCTGCCGCGGGTCTCGGCGCCCCTCCGGCACTCGGACGGGTCCACTGGGCCCCGGTGGGGGCGGCAGGCGGGTCCACTCGGGTGCATATCGGGACGCGAGGTCCGGAACCGTTACCTGCCACCGCGCCGCTCTCCGCGGACCAGGTCGCCTCCGAGGTCACGGTCCCCCCCTCGGCACTCTCCGCCTCCTCCGGCACTTCCAGCTCCATGGCCGCGCGCGCGCGGACCCGCTAGCGAGCGGGCGGCCGGAGGTTAGGACTCGAGGTGCGGCCGCCGCCGCGGAACAACAACCGCCGCCGACCGGGGGATCGAGGGAGGGAGCCGAGCCCTGGGAGCAGGAGGAGGGCCGGGGACGCGGCCAGGCGCTACGCCACCACGCACGGCGCGCACCGCCAATCGGAACTCGGGGGCGGGGCCTGAGTGCGTCCCGAACCTCGGAGCGCCTCGAGCGCCCCCACGCGCCCAGGGTGTGGAAGGGCAGCGCATTCCAGTCACTTCACATTGTAATGGTAGTAATATATATGGAATAAAGAATACTTACAACTAATAAATTATTTATTACCACACTATAAATAACACAATATTGTGTTAAATATTTTAATCTAAATAGTAATTATAATATGATAATGTTTAATTTTCATTATGCACGATGTAAAATTATATGGATTATGATATTACTAAATAAAATTAACGTATTATTATATAAGTAGTATTAATGTATAATGTAGAAATGTTGTGCTGGGCTGCATACCTGGCGCTTTGGCCAGACGGGTCATGCTGTGCTGTCTGCTCCTAAAACACACAGATAGGAAGGCACTGACATCAGGCCAGGCCTTGAGATACGGTCTCATGGCCCCTTCCCAGCACGCAGGCCTTCTTTCTCAGAAGGCCCGGAAGTCTCATTCCAAATTTGGGAGACAAAGGACTGGGAAAAGTATAAATAAAGAGAGTTTCCTCCATATTGGGGGGCCCAGAATTTGAAAGACACATTTTTCTCTGGGCCTCCACAAAATTTAATAATAAAATGTAACTCCTGTGTCATCGCTGCAGTTCGGCCTCTGCTCCCGCAGGGTGCTGTAACTGTGGTCTGCTGGCCAGCTTAATAAAGGCTCCTAAATTTAAATTCTGAGTCGGTGGTCTATCTCGCTGAGTGAACCCATAACAATGTTACATATAGCATTATTTATAATATAATGATAAATATACATAATAATATTACTAAATGCTAGTCTCAGTGCCAAAGCCCTTGACATGCCAAATCTCCATAAGTTAGGGACCTGTTTTTCACTATTAGTATGTTCCCAATATCTAACACAGAGCCTTCTACCTAGAAAACAATAATTATTGTATAATACTGATCAAGCCAATAAAATCTATTGTTATTCCCATTTTGCACATGAGAATTACACAAAGAACCATGCTGTCAATCAGTGTATTTATGTCTGAAGAGTATCCCTGTTGTTATTAAAGTCTAATGGTGAATTTATTTGTGATATGACTAGACGGTTGTTAATTGTGAGGTCATGATTTGAGGAGTGATAAATGCTGCTGTCAGTAGTTCTCTTCATAACTAATGATTTCTGCTGTGGGGAGTGGCTGGGGTGTAGGTGGGGGACCCAGACGTCCTGCTAGTGAAGGACGGGAGCTGGGATGTTTTCCCTCGGGCCTGCCTGACTCCAGAGACATGGTCCCTCATCACTGCCTGGGGTGCTGGGGAGACGTCACCCTGGAGTTTGGTGGAGATGCAGAATCTTGTACCCCACCCACCTCAGACCTCCTGCATCAGAAACTCCTGGGGTTTCAATGAGCCCCCTAAGGCAATGTGCATGCCTGAGTTTGAGAAGCACTGGTTCACACAACTGGGGAAGGGCTGGGGGTTGGATTAGTGATAAGGATCATGAAAATGAAATTAAAATTATTTTTTCAGGTTTGATTCTGAACCTCTCCTGGTGGGAAGTCAATACTAAAACTGAAAAATCAAGAAGTGGCAAAACAGGCATTATTTAGAGATGCAGAAATGAATGTCAGCATAATTTAACTTAAACTAAGAGGACAGCCCCTCTGGGAAGGGAGAAATTGTGGGGTGACAATGCCACTGCTAATTTTAACAAACCTGAAATAGAATTCGACTCTTTAAAGTACACGTGTGTATAAACTTTAGTTTTTAAAAAATGAATATGTAAAGAGAAAAAAACCAAGCTGGTGCAGGAGTCGGGGGTGGGGGTGGGGGTGGGGGTGGGAGGGGACAGCAGCGGAGGCAGGGAATGGAGAGGAGGGAGGGGCCGGGGTCTGGCTGGGGCAGCGGCTTCTGATCCTCCTGATTCATCCTCCCCCCACGTCCCTGCTCCCTTATTATACCCTCATTATTTTTTATTATTTATTGATTTTTAGAGAGAGGAAGAGAGAGGCGTTGACTTGTGGCTCCACCTATTTATGCTTTAACTGGTTGCTTCTTGCATATGCCCTCACCAGAGATCAAACCCCCGACTTTGGCGAAAGGGGAGGACGCTCCAAGCAACTGAACTACCCAGCCGCTTTTCTGGTTTTACGAGATGGAAAACGGAGGCTGCCGGCTGGGGCCAATTGCCTGGTTTCTGCCGCCCCCTCGTGGTCATATATGCTATTAGCATCAACGCTAGGTACCAGCTAGGAGGGACACCTTGTGTCTCCCCTCCCCCTCCCCATATTCCATTCATTCATTCGTTCGTTCAGGCATGCATGCATTCATTCATGCCACAAACACTTATTGAGCACCGCCTGTGTACCAGGCACTGTTCTAGGCCACGGGGATACAGGAATGAGCAAGACAAAATCCCTGACCTCAATAAGGTGACATTCTAGAAGAGAGAGATAAACAAGCACAAGACAGAAGATAGTTTCAGCTGCTAATAAACCCTTTGAAAATAGCACAGATGTGACACAGTGGCAATAGAATGTGATCGAAAAGGACGGGCTCAATATCTATTATGCGTTAAGCTCCTATTCCAGCGCAGCCCAAGAACCACAACGCAAGCCAATGTAATGGCCAAGTTTTTAGATTTTATTGATTGATTGATTTTAGAGGGAGAGAGATAGCGATTTGTTGTTCCATCTGCTTATGCAGTCATTGGTTGATTCTTGTACGTGCCCCGATCAGGGATTGAACCTCCAACCTTGGTATATTGGGCGGACGCTCTAACCAACAGAGCCAAGGCAATACAAGCCAATGTAAATGTAATATCTTAACCGTTAGCCCTAGCTGGTTTGGCTCAGTGGTTGGAGAGCTGGCCCTCGGACTTAAGGATCATGGGTTCGATTCAGGTCAAGGGCACCTACCTTGGTTGCAGGCTCGATGCCCGGCCCAGTTGGGGTGCGTGCAGGAGGCAACTAATCAATGTGTTTCTCTCACAGTGATGTTTCTCTCTCTGTGTCTCGCCCCCTCCCTTCCACTCTCTCTGAAAATCAATGGGGAAAAAAATATCCTTGCCCTAGACAGTTTAGCTCAGTGGATAGAGCATCAGCCTGAGGACTGAAGGGTCCCAGGTTCGATTCTGGCCAAGGGCACATGCCGGGATTGCAGGCTCAATCCCCAGTAGGGGGCGGCTGATCAATGATTCTCTCTCTCATCATGCTTCTATCTGTCTCTCTCCCTCTCTCTTCCTCTCTGAAATCAATAAAGATATATTGAAAAAATATATATCCTTGGGTGAGGATTAACAAAAAAATGAAATCTTAGATGTCATTTAAAATTTTCCACTAACCACAATATAAAAAGCAAAATAGAAAGTGGTAAGATTAGTTTAACCACATGTCTCATTTAACCCAACATATGCAAAATATCATTGCAACATAGCGTGGATATTAAAAATAACAAGCTCTGTGGTACATTTACACTGTGGAATACTATGCAGCAGTAAAAAAGAAGGCTCTCTTACCCTTTGAGACAGCATGGAGGGAGGGACCTGAAGACTACTATTATGCTAAGTGAAATAAACCAGTCAGAGAAAGACGAGTATCACATGACATCATTCACATGTGGAATCTAATGAATAAAATAAATTGACAAGCAAAATAGATCCAGAGACATAGAATCATAGAACCGATTGTTGAATCTCAGAGGGAAGGTGGGGGTGGGGGTGTGCGCGGGGGGAAAAAAATCAACCAAAGAACTTGTATGCATATAAGCATGCCCCATGGACACAGACAATTGTGTGGTGAAGGCCTGGGGCAGAGGGTGGGGGCCAGCTAGAAGGGGGTCAATGAGAAAAGGGGGACATAGGTCATACTTTCAACAATAAAGATTTTTTTAAAGTTCCATGTAAAAATATAACGAGCCCATCCAGTGTGGCTCAGTGGTTGAGTGTCGACCCATGAGTCAAGAAATCACAGGTTCGATTCCCGTTCAGGGCACATGGCCAAGTTGCGGGCTCCATTGCCAGTCGGAGGCGTGCAGAGGCAGCTCAACAATGTTTCTCTCTCTCTAACCGTCTCCCTTCCTCTCTAAAATCAATAAAACCATATTTTTTTTTAAAAAAAATAACAGGCTATTTCACATTCTTTTGGGAGTACCGCGTCTCCCACATCTGGTGTGTTTTTCATACTTAACCACATCTCATGCATTGGGATCAGTCACCTGTGCGTAGTATCTAGAAGATGTGGACCTACTGTGTGCCCTGTCCTGTTTTAAGCACTTTATGGACATTTATTCATTTACTCATCCTTCGAAACTCCCCTAGAAAGTAGATGCTAGAGTTTTCCCCTATTTTTAAGGTGAGGTACCTGAGGAGACCCACAGCTACCCAGCTGGGAAGTGACGGAAGCTTCTTGGCACAGGAACCTGGCTGGTCAGTTTGTAGCACAGAAGCAGAATTTGCTCTCAGATCCGCAGGGCAGGAAGGAGCCAGCCCTGCCACAGTTTCTGAGATGGCACACGTGGTGGAAGGCACCACGGCAAATGCAAAGGCTTGGCAGTTCCCGCTGCCAAGAGAGCAGAGGGGAGAGGGAGGGGGCCAGGAGGAGTTTCATTCTTTTATTTCTTAGTTGATTCATTAAACCTTTCCCCAGGACCAGCCTATATGTGCTGGCCCCAGTGCTGCTATCAGCAAGCGGCCCAGGGGTGAATGGCCCAAGCAGGGCACGACCCGGTGTCCCTGGCCTCTGGGCGAGCAGGGGTTAAGGCCAGCTGCTCCCACGTGAGAGCACCTTACGACAGAGCCACACACCCAGCCAGCCTCCCTGTCTCGCTCATACTGCCAGTTCGCCTGTGCATGTCGCATGTTGCCCTGCTGGTTCCACCTGGCACAGGACCCGCCAGCCTACAGCTGCCACAAGCGAGGAAAAGTTGAGCAAACAGGTGGGGAGGACAGAGCTCAAACCTCAGGTTCCCTCCCCACCCCCATGCCAGGCGGGCACCCAAGCCCAGGCTCCTGCTGCCTGCCCAGAGGCCTCTCAGCCTCCTAGACAGGTAAGTCCCGATCTGCCCGTCATCCCGGAGCCATTGCTGGGGCCGGACTCCCCACCACGGGGACCTGGGACCCCCGCTCCCCTTCCCGCAGCTCCCCCGAAAGCAGGAAGCTAACACTCCTGCGTGGGCACTGACATAGTTTCTAAAGGATTATCTGGCTGGCAGCTACTGCCCCTGGCAGTCAGCCCAGGACGCCAGAGCCAGAGACCTAAAAGGGTCATTGTTGGCCCAGGTGGTGCCAGGGGGCCGAGGGGGCACGGGTTGGTCTCTCTGATCCTCCAATCGAAGGACGGGAAGTCGGGCAGGGAGGTGGCAGGCGGGGCAGCCTGGCACCTGGTCAATGTGGGGGCCTCTTCTGAGAATTGCACGGGCCTCCCACTACCGCTGGCACCTGCAGGAGCTGGGGAGACAGGTCCTGGGGTCGCCTTACCTTGCTTCTCCTGAAGGTGAAATGCAGGAGGGGGTGGGGGCAAGCAAATGGTTGTCACAACAGTCCCCAGAGCAGGCTGTGGGCAAGGAGCCGGGATGGTCTTTGGGCGTAGAAGCTGGAGAGGAGAGGGGATGGGTGGCAAGACATTTTTCTGGGTCATTTGCTCCCGGACGTGCAGGACAAAAGGAGCTTCCTGAGAGCCAGTGTCTGATCGCACCTCAAATCTCTCTGTCCGGGACCAAGTGGGTCCCTTGGGGCTGGGAAGGCATAGGCATCTGAGACTCGGGGCACAGAGTGGGCCTGGCATTTGGGACCACCCCAGGGCAGCATGCTCATGGAGCCCCAGGGAGCAGGGAGGCTTGAGATTTGGGTGGTTGTGGGATTGTGAGGAATATGTTGCGACTGAGACAGCCTCCAGCCATTTCTCCTAACTGGATCTCAGTTTTCCATTCTGTAAAGTGGGTATAAGAGCCACCAGATAGCAGGGCTGCTGAGAACACACATCACAGGGTCAGCAATCCATGCTAGTCGTGTGGGGATTGCGGGAAAAGGTGTCTCACTCAAAATCAGACCTCAGGCCAGCCACTTTCCTGTTTTATTCTTTTGGGGGTACCGCACTTCCAAATCTGGTGTGTTTTTTATACTTAGCCCTGGCTCAGAGAGGGGCAGCCACATGTCCAGGGCTGCACAGCAAAGTTTGGCTGTCAGGCAGGTAGGAGTCAAAAGGTAGAGAGCAGGAAGGTCTGGGGGCTGCCCATGCCCCCTGACCGACGTCCCAGGCTCAGCATCTTATGAATTTCCGCCTCCCTGGCTCAGTGCTTCCATGAGGCCCTGAGTTCTGGGGAAAGTTCACTTTCTAGTTGGGTTTCTGTTCTTCCTCCTCGTCCTGGTCCGATGCCAGAGGAGCAGTGTTTGCCCAGGGTGGAGTCTGACACTCTTTGGAATGGACTGAGGTTCATTCGTGGGAGATGTGAATGGGCGGAGGACGTGCCCGGGGACTGGACCTGAATGTATGGAGCACCGACCGCGTGCCGGGCGCTGTTCTGGGCTGTGGGGATTCAGAAAAGGTCCCTGATCTTGTGGGCTTGTATTTTGGTGGAGAAAGACAGAGAAGAGACATAATAAGGAAGTTAACTATCCTAAATTGTATCCTGAGTCAGGGAGTGGTCAGTTTCACAGGGAAAAAGAAGTAACAGAAGTTCGAGAAATAGGAATGAAATAGACAGGAAGGCATTTTATAATCTTAGCTAAGGATTAGGGAGGGCCCACTTGATAAGACTTAAAGGAAGTACTTGGGGCATTTGGAGCAGAGGTGACGTCAGGTGTAAAGGCCCCAGGGCAGGTGGTTGGAGGAACAGCACGGAGGCCTGCGTGGCTGGAACAGAGTGAGCGAGGGGGAGAGTGGGAGGAGGTGAGGGCAGGAAGGGGATGGGGCAGGTCGTGTGGGGCCTTGGGGAGGACTGGGGCTTTTCCTGGAGGGAGGGAGGGAGGGGTCCCGGAGGGCTGTGGGCAGAGGGTGGACCAGGCCTGATTCAGGTGCTCACAGGTGCCCTCTGGTGGCTGCAGGGAGAACAGACTGTGACGGGAAAGGGCAGGAGCGAGGGGGCCAGGGCTGAGTTGCCCGGGTTGGTCCAGGTGGGCAATGACGGGACTAGACCAGGTGGAGGCAGAGGAGAGGGGAGAAGTGGGCAGATTCTGGAAAGACTTGGTAGAACTACAGCACAGCATATGCTGATGTATGAGAAATAGATTGGGGTCCAGGGTGATTTGGAAGAAAGGTGAGTGTTCTGGGGTTTGAAGATTTTAATGGTGAGTGGGACAAGTAACTGGGAGGTAGTTAGAAATATGAGGGGGGAGACTTGGATGCTGGTGTGAGGCCTTTCGGTATTATGGTGTTAAAGGATGGTTTTCCCCCCAAAAGGTAAAAACATGACTCTCCTACTAATATGAAAACAAACAGGTGCGTTATGAGTTTGTTTAACGCATTAATTAATGTGGGAACCAGGAAGAGTTTACAGCCTGTTCAAGAATGAGTGTAAAGGAAGAACACACACAGGGCATCAAGAATGCTGAAATGAATTTACAAATCAATTCAAAACGGGTCAATAGTCACAGGGCAATAATCTGTGGCCCACGGGACAAAATCCATCTGCACTCCTCTGGACAAGACTCCTTTGCAATAGCAACAGTTTCCTGCAATTTACACGGCTGTAAAATAGTTCATAGGTGACGAGAGGCATAGATGACTTGGGAGGGAGGGTATTGCCAGAATCTGGCATTAATCAGATGCTCAATAAGTATGCTTTCAAGGGATGCTAGGGAACTATTGAATGTTCTTGAGCTAAAGCCACAGCTTATTCACTGCACATTCATTGGAGGGACTATTTGTTGAATAACTGCTCTCCCCGCTGGTCTGTGAGTTCTACCATTGTAGTATCCCCAGTGCCTAGAACAGTGCCTGGTATGCAGTAGGCACTAAACAAACAAACAAACACTCACCTACTATTCTGAACAGAGTAGAAAGGCCAGTGCTGTGAGAGGACAGATTTCAGGTTGGGCAGGTTCAGCCACAAAGCAGATAAGGACTGTCAACGTAGGGGAGGAGGGACCTTTAATGGGGATGGTCAGAGGGGAGTTGGCCTGGGGTCCTGTTGCGAGGCCAGACTGAAGACAGGGGCTATAAGAAAGGTGTCAAGGGTCAGGGTTCTACCCGGCTGCTGCACAGGACAGACCCTTGATACAGACAGTTTTGGGGGCCCCCTCCAGTCCTGGGGACACCATAATCCACCTTTGTCTTTTCCCACTGGGGCTTGTGTCCCTCCTCCTGGTCTGGAGTGGAGAGGGGAGCACAAGGAGCACACAGACGAACCTTCCGTGAGCCTGCCACATGCTGGATGCCTGAATATTTGAACCTTCCTAAGGACAGGACTCAAAGGCAGACCCAGGTCCCCATGGCACAGATGGGGAAACTAAGGCAAGAGTCAGAGGGGTTGGGACTCATGCCAAGCTCAGCGACCCCCTTTCCACAGAGCTTCCTTTTAGAGCTTTGACATCTGAGCCCCCTCCAGCTGCATTCCCCACTTCAAGCTCCTAGGAAGGTCTACAAGCCATCCTCACGTTCCCTTTCCTCCTACATCAAAGCGCTGTCACTAAGGGGCAAAAGGACCCCACACTGCCAGCCCCGGGACATCATTGCTCAGTCCTCACACGCTCTCCGGGAGTCCGCCACACCCAGAATCTGCCCTTCCACAAACCCCAGAACCACCACCTACCCGCTTCTCTCCCACACAGTCCAGTCATGAGGAAAGCATCAGACCAGCCCAAGTGAGAGGCATTCTACCGAGTCGCGGGCCAGTCTGTTCCAGGCGGGAAAGGTTGTGGGGCGAGGGGAGTGGAGCCCAAGCTGGCTGAATGCACTGGGGATCCGGGGTGGGTCCCGGCACAGAAAAGGGATCTTAGTAGGACCTGTTACAACGTGGAGTTTACTTAATGGTGACTTGGCCGTGTTGCTTTCTTAATTTTCACAAATATACCAATGTCATGTACAATGTTAATGTTGGGGGAAACCGGGTGAGGAGCATATGGGGACTCTCCGAATTATATCTACAACTTTTCTGTAAATTTAAAATAGTTCCAAAATAAAATGTTCATAAAAAAGGGGGTGGGGGAGCAACATCTAACAGGGCCTCCAGGTTTGGCCTCCCTAGTCCCCCTCTCCCCACCACAGTCAGCCCTCCCTCCAAGCAGCCACCAAAGGGCGCCTCTGAGCACCTAAGGAAGTCCCACCCTGGCCCCCACAATCTGTCTTCCCCGCAGCAGCCACAAGACGGTGCCAGTGAGCGCCTGAGGCAGGTCTTTCCAGTGTTCATGGATCTCCAGGGCTTCCATCTCCCCCCCCCCCCCCCCCCCCGCCCCCACAACAAAACAAGCCCAAATCTCAGAAGGCCCTGGGTGACCTGTCCCTGTTCCCTCCCTGCCCTGACCTCCTCACTAACCGCCCCCCTCACTCTGCTTCAGCCATGCAGGCCTCTTCTCTGTTCTTCCAATATGCCAGGCATGGTCCTACCCCAGGGCCTTTGCACACGCTGTTCACGCCACCTAGAACACCTTCCCCCAGATCTCCCCAGGGCTCCCCCCTCACCTCCTTCGGGCCTAACTGTTTCTCTGCCCAGGTGCCTCTCACCTAGGTCACACTTACTAAACTCAGTTCTCATCTCATCTCGAGTGCTACCTCCTCAGAGAAGCTCGCCCTGAGCCCCCAGTCCAGGTCGTGTCTCCCTGCCAATGCTCTCAGAAGTCTAGGTTGTACTTTTTACTTACTTTTTTTTATGATTTCATTATGGTCTACTTCCCCCGGGGATCCTGGGCTTCCTTTAGAGCAGGGACTGGGCCGGTGTTGTCAGTCCTGTGTGTACACAGTGGGCACCCAATAAATGCTGATGACTGAGCCATATCTCAGAGCTGCTTCAGGACATTGCTGGGTTCCGGTCTGACCTGTTAGGCCACAGATGACCTCAGCTTCTTGTAGCACACCAGCAAAGCAGCCTCCACCAGGAAGTTTCAAAGCCCAGGAACAAAGCCCCCAGGCTCCTACTCCTCCTGGCAGCTGACACCCTGGGGGACCCCAGCCCAGCCTCTGCCCTCTCTGGGCCTCAGTTTCCCCATAGATGCTCAGAAGGGGCCAAGCAAATCCATCTTGCAAGTACTTCCGGGACCTCACCTTCCCCTGCATCCCTCCCTAACCCCTCATGCCACACCTGCTCTGCCCTTTCCTGGTTGAAGTTGGCGCTGCAATTTCAGGGGGGAAGTTGGTCCCCATTACTTCTTCATGCACTTAGTGCATAGCAGGGGCTTGAGACATTTTTGTTGAGTGAATGACTGAATGAATGAAAAGATAAAAACATGAATAAAGTGGGTGGATGGAAAGCAGATTTTTAACTCCATAAAGTGATCTGGAGGTCAGGGGTCAAGGGAATGGGGGCTCGAGGCCAGAGCTCTTCTCCAAAACATGGGACGTGAGCACAGGGTCATCTCATGGGTATACCAAGCAGCCTCTGAGTGCTCTTGAAAAGGGCATAACAACGTGCGATCAGAATAATGGGGGGCTGGAGGAAGACCATCTGTCCTGGGGTGAGCGTCCTCTTTCCATGAGGGGTTTAGAGTGGGGTGTCTCTGTCCCAGCGCTATTGACATTTGGGGTCAGTTCATTCTCTGTGGGGGCCATCCTTGTATCTGGGGGGTGTGGAGCAGTATCCCTGGCCTCCATCCACTCGATGCCAGGAACACTTCCAGTCATGACAGCCACAGAATCTGAGACATTATCCAGTGTCCCCTGGAGGCAGAATGGCCCCACAGGGCGAAGTACTGATAGCGAGGATCTGAGGCCGGACAGCCAGGTCCCCCTCTTGTCGGTCGGGCTGTCACTTGGCCCGCCTCGCCTCAGTTTTCTCAGCTGTAAAATGCACACGTGAATGTCATATGTAAGACGATATTGGCGTGAAGCAAGCACTCAGTAAAAGTGACCCAGCAGCCTCATTCCCATGGATTCAGTCCATTCATTCTATAGATAATGGCACTGCGATCAGGTGGCAGGGAGTGTGGGACTCAGCATGCCCCCCAGCTCCAGGATGTCACCTCCAGGCCACTTGTCTGATTGCCAAACGTGTGCCCCAATCAGCAAGTCCTCCTGAGTAACTGCGGCCACAAACCCGTGTGTGTGTGTGTGTGTGTGTGTGTGTGTGTGTGTGTGTGTGTGTCTGTGTTTGTGCACGCCAGTAGGGAACTTATTTATGTTTTTTCCTATGACCCATTAAAACTAATACACAGCTATTCAAAAAATGTTTGACCTTGTTCTACCTAAAATCAACTTCTGTGCTGGCAGCTGAACGTTACATAGAGAAAGGCTGTCTGAAGTACCAAGTGGGTCTTCAGCAGAAGTTTATTCCTTTGGTAACATTTGGGGACCCTTGAGAAGCCGATCATGGCTGACTGGGGTATCCAGACTAGTATTTTGGAGGAAACTGCAGTTGGGAGGAGTGAGAAGTCAGCTTTGGGGGCCTCAAAGGCTTTGATTATACTGTCTGTCTTTTTCACTTGACAAACTCTTATTCAACATTCAAAACCCCATTGCCCAGCCGGTGTGGTTCGGTGGTTGAGCCTTGACCTATGAACAAGAGGGTCACGGTTCGACTCCCGGTCAGGGCACATGCCCAGGTTGGGGGCTTGATCCCCAGTAGGGAGCGTGCGGGAGGCAGTCGATCAATGATTCTCTCTCATCATTGATATTTCCAGCTCTCTTCCCCTCTCCCTTCCTCTTTGAAATAAATAAAAATATATTAAAACAAAAACAAACCCAGCTGCAAAGCCCCCTCTTCCAGGAAGCCTTCCCTGATCTCCCAATTTCCTTTCTGCTTCACCCCTTTCCCTAAGCCTAGGGCTTCCCTCTGCACAGTCTTGGCTAGATGAGGCTGGGAAGAGGTGTCTACACCCAGATCTGCCCTTTCAACCTTGGGGTGAGGTGGGGTTCTGAATGAGCTGAGCCTTAGGGAGGGTTTTTGTGCAGTTTTTTTAAGCAGAAAGGAATGTGGGTGGAGCCACCACCGGCTCCTCCCATGCAGGTGACCTCCTCCCTCCCTCACCCCGGGTGTAAGGAAACTGGGTCCCTGAGGGTGAGGCCAGCCCAGGTGAAGAGGAGGAAGCCCGACCTTTACTCTCAGGAGTCTGAGGAATTTCCTCCCACCGCCCTCTCCTCCTGGGGGCCCGGCCCAGTGCTGGGTGTGAAAACAGAGCCAGGCCGGGTCTGTGCTGATGCCTCCCTGGGCCTCCGTTTCCACCTGTGACCCGGGGTAAACCTCCTGGAGATGGGGCGACTCGAGGAAGACCCGCGCCCTGTGCTCCGGAGGTCTCTAGCTTCGGATCTATAGGCCGACTAACGACTGAACCTCAACATGTGCTTGTTTCACGGGTAGAAAAGCCCCATCAAGCAGCAGCTCTGTTCCGAACGCGGCCAGGGATCCCTGCCGGGTCTTCCTGGCGGCCGTGCCCGGCTGGCCTCCGGCCTCGGCCGGCAGCTGGCGCTTAGCGGGATGGAAAACCCGCTCCGGAGCGCCGCCCAGGGCCTGGACCGGCGGTGTGCGGTGTGCGGCGGGGTGTGTGTGTGTGTGTGGGGGGGGGGGTGAAGGCGGTCGCCTGGGCATCCCGAGGGCGTGCCGCGGCGGGGGCGGGGCCCCGGGGAGGCCGAGGAGGAAGGCCGGCAGGTGCCGCCCGAGCGGCCGGGCGGCGGGAGAAGGGCGATCGCTGGGCACCCACTCCGCCGCGAACCCCCTCCCCCTCCCTCACCCCAGGGTGGGGACCGATTGACGGCTCCCAGGCTCGCCGGGGCAGGGGCGCTGGAGAGCCCCGAGTGGACCATGGCGGTGAGATTCCAGGCGAGTAGCCCGCCGAGGGCGGGACGGGGAGGGCATGGAGCCGAGGTGGGGCTGATCACCAGGACCCCTGGCCACCCTCTGCCTGTGGAACAGGTGGGGAAACGGAGGCCCAGAGGCCGGCAGTGGCCAGCCCGAGGCTGCACAGCGAGACGCGGGGCGCCCCTGGACCCTAAAAGCTGCCTCCGTGACCCGGCAGACCTGGGTTCAAATCCCAGCCTTTCTGTGAAACGGGGGCCCTGAGCCAGCGCCTCTCCGTACCTCATCCTTTAAAGAAGGATGGAGGGCGGATTCCAAGAGGGAAGTGTGTCTTAGCTCCTGGACTGTACTAGGTGCCCAGCAAGCGTTTACCGCGGCTCCCAGGGTGTTGGAGGAAGTGAATGGTGGGACTGTGGGCAGTGACCTCATGTGGGCTGGGTGGCTTGGTGGATGCGGGGAGGCTGCGGGGAAGGGAACCACCACATATTGTGTTCCTACTGTATACAGAGCCCTTAACTTGCGTGAACCCACAGAGATAAGGGTCAGGGCTCGAGAGCCCCCTTTACACTCAAGTCACTTGACTGGACTGGAGGCAGGGGGTCCCTGTGTCTCTATGTGGGGGGACTTCACCTTCCAGGATGGAGCTTGAATGGACTCAGGTGCACAGTACTGGGTTTTAGTACACAGGCCAGGAGGGGTAAACTGAGCTTGGAGGGGTAAACTGAGGCCTCAGGAGGCACGTGGCTCACGGAGGCCACACACTGCTCTGGGCTTTAGGGCGCGACAGTTCTGGTCCCCTACACCTTCCAGGCGGCAGGAAAGGCTCCCAGAATCCCCTCACCAACTGAGTATTTGGCACCCCCACCCCCCATTGTTCCTGGAGGTGGGGGCTGAGACGGAGAGAGACACCTGCATCCTGGGAGCCACTTGCCTGGGGCTGTTCGCCGCGGTAGGACCTGTCTCTCTGGTTGTCTCTCCTCTCTGGTGTTTGCAGTGTTTGTGTCCAGTGCTGCATTTGGGCTGAGGGGGTGGGGTGGGGGAGGGGATGGGAAACCGGTCCAGGCCCACTCCCCTTGGTGTGGGGGTGGGAGTGGGGGAGCAGGGGCCTGAGGGGCCTAGGTACACTGGACCTATCTGGTTGGGTTTCTGGCTGAATCTGGCCATTTTTCCACCTTTCACCCATTCCTCAAACTCCACGGTGCCTATCCAGTGGGGACAATGCGGGGATCCCAGGGCGCCCAGTCCTGCCCACCAGGAGCCCTCAGACAGACAGGTGGACTGGGACGTCCCAAGTTTCAATCATCAGGGATGTGTGTGTGTGTGTGTGTGTGTGTGTGTGTGTGTGTGTGTTGGGGGGGGGGGTGTTGGGGCATTGAGGACTCATTTCCTGGAGGAAGTGACGGTAGCACCGGGATAAATAGGAGTTTGCACCATAGCAAGTTTGGCTCAGTGGATAGAGCATCAGCCTGCAGACTGAAGGGTCCCAGGTTCGATTCCAGTCAAGGGCACATGCCCGGGTTGTGGCTTGATCTCCAGTGTGGGGTTGTGCAGGAGGCAGCCAATCCATGATTCTCTCTCATCATTGATGTTTCTATCTCTCTCTCCCTCTTCCTTCCTCTCTGAAATCAATAAAAATATATTATTTTTTTTTAAAAAATGGGAGTTTGCTAGGAGTGCAGCATGGGAAGGAGGGCCCAGGAGGTGCTGAGTCACCGAGTACCCAGAGAGACAGCCCAAGAGGAAAGAGCAGGCATTCCCAAACTGATGACCAAACAGGGTAGTTTAAGATGGTTTTGGATGCTGTGAATAAAACGTAACAAATAAAACAGAGAGGAGTGATAGGGTGCCAGGAAAGACGGGCTAACCAAGGGGGGCTCCCTGAGGAGGTGGCATTGGATCTGAGACCCAAGTGGCAGGAGCCAGCCTTGTGCCAATCCTGAGAGGGTGTCCCAGGCATAGACCTGCCTGGATGAGGCTAGAGGGGGTGTCCGCACCCAGAGCTGCCCTTTCAACCTTGGGGTGAGATGGGATTCTAACCAAGTGAGCTCCCCCGCCAGGGCAAAGGTTTGGAGGTGAACCAGCTGAGGCATGACCCCCTGGAGGCCTCCAGTATCCATGCAGGTGAACCTACACAGGC